AATTAAACTACTATTTGGGACACAGTTTGACAGTTTATCTTTTAAAAGTTGAATGGAAACTTCTTATTATATTAATATAGTCTTATGTTATTAATTATTTTACTCCTAGAAATTATTTTACTCCAGAAAAATGTAATCATATGTCCACTCAAAGATAAGTAACTGAATAATCATAGCAGCATTATTCATAATAGATCCAAACTGAAACCCATCCAAATACCCTTGAAATAGAGAACTGGTAAACAAAATGTGGTATATCCTTTCAGTAGAATACTATTCAGCACTAAAAATGAACTACTGATACATGCCATAATATGGATGGACCTAAAAAATATAATGCTACATGAAAAATGTAAGACACAAAAGATGACTACATGTTCTTGAATTCTGTTTATATAAAATGTTCAGCAATGGTAATTTTATAGTGTCAGCAGATTAGTAGTTACCTGTGACTGGGACTAGAAGTGGGAATTAAAAAGGGAAATTTTTTTTGAGATGATGGAAATATTCTAAAATCAGATATTGTGGTAATAATCAAACAACTCTATAAAAACCATAAGATACTAAAAATCATAAAAGTATATCCTTACAATGCATGAATTTTAGAGTATGTGAATTATACCTCAATAAAGCTATTAGAACAATAATGAAAATATCTTTCTCATGATGTCTTTATCTTAAATGGCAGATCATGGTTTTAAATACATGTTCAAAGGGGTTTTGTTTAGTGGGTTTAAAAGGAGCTACTGGTAACAAAATAAAATGCATTATTGGATGATATAATTAGTACCAGTAACAGCTATGACCATAGTGATTAATAGTTCCAGCACTAAAAATTCAAAATCTTCCTTCCTGCCTCCTCTCCCTAAGATCTAGATGCTGGCATGTTTAGCCTTCCCACTTGTAATTATCCTCCCTCAAAGTGGAATAAGGATTAACTAATTATAGTGATGCCTTCAGACACAAGCCATATCAAACACCCTGGTAACTGAGAATTGTCCTGTCTGCAAAAGTATGCCAGAAAGCCTTAAATTCTCTAAAATCTGCATCAAGGACCAGCACAGAGGATTGAGCCAGCCCACAGAGCTGCCCTGATCTAGTCCAGATGGCACAGGTACACCCTGTACTTCCGTTAAATTTACTTTCTTAAAATGCTGCTTTGGATAAGGTAAATCCCTTTCTCAAAAATCTATTTGGGTCTTAGAATGTCTATCAAAGGGCCAGGACATGGTGTTAGAAGACATGGGTTTAAACTTGGCCCTGATATGAACTAGTCATGAGGACTTAGAGAAGAGACTTATCTTTTTAGCCTCAGATTATATATCCCCCAAAGTGGGACAGTTCTGCCTACTCTATAAAACTGTTGTGAGAAAAAACACTGAATAGTCCACATAAAATAACAAACCCGGTATATGTGTTGTGTTGAATCTGAATAAAGAATGTAGTTAATATGACAATCAGGGTTTTCCAGGGTTTTGCCTGGATCTTCCTGTCCAGCCTAATCCTCCAGTAGCCCCTTGATTCCTTATTCCAATCAAACCAGACTTCTAACCAACTATCGCCACCAGGCAAGGACTCTGGCTTTTCCTGATTTCTGGGCTACCTTATTATCAACTCTGTATTCCATAATCCTACTCATCTTTCAAGATGGCTTAAAAGCAAAATCGTTAGCTTTTAAAGACATCCTTTATGACATTTGTTTTAATTATTAACTCCTTAACTCATTAGATCCTTAATTATATATTTTTAAGTGTCAGAGCTATTTGGACATGTCATTTTTTCCCCTGGTACAGAATATGCTTCTGAAAGTATACCAAGACTCACATATATACCTTGTTATATATCTCTACAGTGCCTCTCATAGGCTCTGAAGTAGGTCAGGAGTCTCAAACTATTACTTTTTCAACCAAGGAATTCCTCAAGGATAATTTGAAAACTTTTATTCAAATCCAATTTTCTCACTTTATAGGTGAAAAAATTATCCCCAGAAAGGGGACACAGAATTCAAGGTAATACAAGTAGTTTCATGTTAGAGCTGAGAGCAGAATTCAGGTTTCCTGTGGCAGAGACTTCAAGCTGTCCCTCAATATCAATTCTCCCTGATAGTTACCACCAATTTTCAGTTAAAACATGGCTACTCAGAATAAAGACTTCATTTCTTATCCTTCCTTTAGTTAAATGTGGATGAGTTCTGGTAAATGACAGTGCCACAAAACTGCTTCTGCTTTTTCTACCATCTCTTTTATCCTACTGCATGGAATACAGATATGATGATAGAATTCCATATTGAATCACGAGGTTGAGGGCCACATCTCAGGGATGGCAGAGAAGAAAGCTGAAAGAACCTGACCCTTTGACGCTTTCAAGGAGTAGAGTCATAACATTAGCTGTGGATTGCCTACATTTAGACTTTTACATTGAAAAAAACTAAACGTCTATCTTGTTTAAGTGGTTCTTTTATATGTGTTATTTTGAATATCTATTATTGGAAGTTTAACTGATCCTATTGTTTTTCTTATCAGCTTTCTGTTGTTCTCCACTCTTCACACTGCTTCCAGACATGTATCTTAATTCCGGTTTTCATTGTTTCAATCATTCATTCAATAATCATTGTGCACCTACATTCTGCCTGTCATAAATCCAAGAGAAGGTTGGGGTGGGCACAGGAGTGAAATGTACAGATTCTGCCTTAGAAGTTATTAGTATTAAATGAACTTCTATTCTCTTAAATAATATCACAATTCATATGTCTGGGAAATATTCATCTCAGAATTTTTCTGACAATCACATCTCAAATAATCTCACCTTTTGGTAATATATTATTGATTGGACCAGCTGTAATTAATATATTCTATTTTTTCCTCTACATCCACTCTCTACCCTTCTATACCCTTTTATTTTCCCTGGGAGGCTGATCTGTATGAATTACATAAATGGGCTCCTTTATTCTCTGGATTCTGGTTGGGTTGGCCAATATGAACTCCTAGAAGGAGATCAGATGTAAGAAAGAGAATGAGGTCTATATATTTATTTTTCTCACCTCTCTCTGTGGGATTATCTCAGGCTAACTGTGTATCTTAGCTGAAGGTCACCAATTCTTTTCAAGATGACCCATTAAATGACTCTCTACTATTGTATTTTGTTAACCATTCCTTTCCTTCATGCCCTTTGGGCTGTTATTATAATGCCCTAGAGAATTTCTCTATACCTTGGCATTGCATGTATTGTCCACACCTTGTAAATAGCCCATTTATTAAATCTTCCTTAAATTATCATAATCTGAGGCTGCCATCTGTTTCCTACTAGCATGCTGACTCATACACCAAGTATACCAATTTTCAGTTCAAAATATATAGGCAACAGATACAAATGGCACCCATGAGAAGCACTGTTGGGAAGAAGGTTGGAGTAAAGAAAAGATATCTAGCAAAATTTTAGTGCATAGAGAATCTCAGACTATAAGAATAATGATATAACAAATCATGACTAGATTTATCTCTTAGGTACCTGAGCTGTACATAGGCCCTCTATATTGCTCTCTTTTTTGAGGTATCCTGGATTTATTTAGAAGTAGTTCTCACTTTTATGTGGAATTCACAGTCACTAGCAAGAGTTAATTTAACTACCAATACATATCAGAACCCCAAATACAGTATCTTCTGCCAATTTTACCAGTATCTTCACTTAGAACCTTTGGAGCCTTTCCAATATGCCTCTTTCAGGGGCACAATCCACACTGTTTGAAGAAAAAAAACATAAAACCAAACTACTACCTGCTTATTCTTTATTAAACCAAAGTATTGCTGACAACAAAGAGTAAAACCTATTAATTCGATATGAAGAACAACTTCAGATCCTAGTCTAGGCAGAAGTGGAAGCTAGGAAAAGAAAGCAGGAAGATGTGGTAGGCAAAATAATGCACAACTCTCCAACCCAAGATGTCTAACTCCGGACCCCAAGAACCTGTGACTTTGTTACCTCATGTAACAAAAGGGACTTCACAAATGTGATTAAGTTAAAGACTGTGCTACATGGAGATTAACCTGTATTATCTGGGTAGATCTATTATAATCACAAGTATACTCATAAGTGAAAGAGTGAGGCAAGAGAGTTAATATCAAAGTGATACAGCATGAGAAAGACTCAACCAGCCACAGATGGCTTTCAAGATGGAAGACAACTACAAACTAAGAAATGCAAGCAGCCTCTATAAGCTGGAAAAGGCAGGGAAACAAATCCTCTCCTAGAGTCTCCAAAAGAAATGCAGATCTGCTGATACCTTGACTTTAGCCTAGTGAGACTCATTTTCTATTTCTAGCCCCTGGAATTATAATAATTTTGTGTTGCTTTATACTACCATGTTTGGGGTAGTTTGCCACATCAGCAATAGGTAACTATTATGAAACAGGAGATTAAAATCTCTAGACCCAGGAAACTAAACCAGGAGCAGAAAAAAAGAGTCGGGAACTGACAGATGACAGAGCACATCGTGGTCATCACAATCAAACTGCACAGCACTTGCTAACCTGTACTGCAGGCAAGTTTGGTTCACTAAGAAATGTATTCTTCATATCAGAGGCTCACAGTAATAAAATGCTTTCATACCTTTTGTAACACCTAGTAATAGTCTCCTTTTCTCTTAGAGATTTTGGGATTCACCTAAGTTTTGTATTTTGCTAGAGAACTTTATCAGCTTCATTCAGAAAAACAACCATCTGTCCCATACCTTATTCTGTGACTTCCTGGTGCCCCTAGTAGCTATAAATCATACAATAAAAATAATATTTAAAGAATTATTAAATCAATACTAATTAATTATAGTTAATATAGATCTTGCTATATGGAGATTAACCTGGATTATCTGGGTTAGAAGTTCCAGATTAAATCATCTAGAAAGCACCAATATTAATTATTTGCATTCCATAAAAACTCATTGCTAAGTCCCTATCCCAAGATTGCCTATTTCTAAATGAATATCCCAAACCTGGCACAGGACTTACCACACTCTGGCCTAGCTGCTCCCGAAAGAAATAATCCATGTTTCTCTTTTGCAGGCTGTCAAGGTAATGCTGGAAGCGAGTGTATGTATATGGGTAGCAGTAAGCAAATTGGTAAATATCTTCTTCTCGGTCAAAACAAAAGGCAAAGGACATCACGTAATTCTTCCTATGGTCCGGGCAGCGGTAGTAGTAAACATTTTTGGGTGGCAGCCTTTGCCTAAAATATATCAACAAAGAAATTTGGGCATATCAGACATTTGTTCAAGCTTCAAAAGGTAATACATATAAATTAATGCCTAGGAGAAAAACTGTAACATTAAGAACCAGCGGTAACAGGGCTGGGAGAATGACAACACAAACCACATGATGTCAAAAACAGACCTAAATCTGGCAGCTCTTTGTTCATAATCCAGTGCTACCCTTTCTCAACGGTTTGCAAAATGCAAAGTTAAACAAAAATAGATGCATTCTATTCATTTGTTTATCCTTCTTTTGAGCACCTAACATATGTGGCATCACATGCGTAGGCCTTGATGTACAATGATAAATAAGACAAGCAAGATCTCTGTCCTCAGGAGGTATATATTCTAACGGGAAAGTGGTCAAGGAAATATTAAAAATAAGTAGACAATATAATTACAGACTCTAAAAGTGCCTTGAAGGTAAATAAAGACTATGGTACTGTTGAGATATAAATGGTAGAGGCCTACTTTTCCCGGGGAAGTCAGGTTTTTAAAATTACAACACTAATTAAAAATTTTTTAAATAAACTCATAGGCATTATATATTATTCCAGGAAGGGAAAAATATTCAACATGTCTCTAAATTATTACTATTATTTTCTACAGAGCATTCCATGAGACTAATTTTTCACAGAAGCACTTTGGGAAATACTGCTTTAAAATATGCTGTGTAGGCAATTTTGCTAAGCTAAACACTGAGATGCAAACATGAGGAAACAAAAATGCTGCAGTCACAGTTTCCATAATTCCTTTGTATTTAACCACTTTAAAGAGTTACTGTGCCCTGATTTATGATATCCAACCTCTTCACAATGTTTCCCTGCAATGAATGTCTCTCATTTCTATCACTACATCCTGCTTATCCTGCAAAACCCTTCTAAAACTGTGCCCTTTCCATGATACTACACTGACAATTCCAGGCTAGTTCAGCTCCACATTTTGTGTAAGTCTTGCTTTTCTATCAGCTGCTTCGTAAGTCTTATTCACCAAGGTTGATTTGGAAGATATGTAAAGGAAAGGATGCTCCCGGGGAGTGCAGATACAGTGGATGAGGGACATAAGGCTCACCTGTAGTGCTTTGGCATTCAACTGAGAAGCCAAAGACTACAGGGACATATGAAGAGAAATGTGAGGAGGAAGGTATAGGAGGAGAAATGGAGAAAAACAAGAAGAGTGCTGGCTCCAGGTAGAACAACCTGGAGAAAACTGTTAACAGAACAGAGAGCATTATAACATACTAGTGTTTGTTGCAGAATCTTGTTTCTACTTTAGTATCTTTCTGAAACTAAGTGGACAGGGTGGGAGGTGTGGCTGTGGGATTCCTATGGAACAGCAGTGGTTATATGGCACTGATGCCTGTACATACATTCGATTATATTAAATTTAATTAAATATTCTTGTATTTGATTATATTAAAAGAAGTGACTAAAGTGATGGGCCATGAGGTCTAAGATGGGTACCAATCTGAAAGTGCTGAGAAGAAGGACAGGATGATAGATATGCAGTATAAGCAACACAGAAACAGAGCTTTCACATAAAAGTCAGTGGTAGTATCAGAGGTTGTTTAGAGGTGCACTTTGGCCCACCAATAGCGTCTACTTGCCTCCTATTCCCAAAGCCACTGTCAACAAATATATAAATAACAGTCTTCTCATAATGGAAATACATCTTTAAGACAAATATTATAGGCACTCCTTCTTCTAATTAGACTGCTACCCTAAATTCTGGCTTGGAAAGTGCATGAGGAGTGAGGAGAAGAGTGACCTCTCCTGATCCTTCTATATGTGCAGCGTAGAAGAATAAGAATGGGGGAAGTAATGCCCTCCCAGAGAGTCAGGCCTCAGTTCATTGTTTTATTCAGCAAATATTTAAGCATCATTTACCAAGTCTAGTTTGGTTAAGACAAGAGGTAAAGGAAGAAGTGAACTTAAAGACTGAGGATCCAAGTAAGATTATTAACCACGGAGCCAAGTTCCAGAGGAAAAAGTAGAAAATGAAGTCTGGAGAGGCAGAGGGAAGGAAGCACTAAGAGTCAAGATTAGAGAGAGAACAGACTAGTGCAAGGATGTGGGTATGGAGAGAATACATGATGCTCTACATTGGTGATGTTATTGAAGATGCAGGAAAGTGAGGCAGGCTGGTGGCATATGCGAGTCCCAGGGTTCCAGATTTGTATTTGGGGAGAGTATCAGTGAAAGTGGCCTTGAGGTTTCCAGCCAATGGTCTGTGATAGTCACTTCAGGCCTTGACTTGAAGGTCTGAGTCTGAGTCTCTTAGAGCCCTGGATGAGTAGTATGTCTTCATTCACAAGAGGTTCCTACAGTCATAAGGTCTCAAGATATGATGCTGTTTTTAGCTATTTATTTACCAGTATATACAACCAGGGTATAGGCTTTAAATTTTGTCACCACAGTTTTCTCCTCTTTGAGTCAAGTTCTGCAACTTGACTCTGAGAGGCTGCTGTCTCCACTGAATTTGATTATGTGCTATCCGGAAAATCTATCTACTGCCTGCAGCTGTCCCAGCTCCTCTCCTGGGTGAGCTAGGATGCCTAACCTGATTAGCAGTCAGAGTAGAGGTAAATGCGCTCTGTGGCAATCATTCAGGAAAACTGAGATGCTGTTCAGGGCTTAGATTTTCTACCTTTTCAAGGATACAAACAGAAATCTATTTGAGAAGGGCTCAGCAGGCAAAATTCATCAAGACTTTCAAGTAATGCAAAGAAGAAAGGCAAAGGGGCTGAAACTAGGGAGGGAAAAATCTCTTTCATTTGGGATGTACTTCTGATTTTTCTTTTATTTTGCTCATTAGGTTCTCATTATGTCTCGGCCATTGTATTAAGTGTTTTATGTGCATTATAATTTAATCCTCACATAACCTTATGAGCTAGGGGCTGTTATCCGCTTTACACAGATAAGAAAATTGAAACCACGAGAGGAAAAAAAAAAGATTCCCCGAGGTCACAAGATCAGTGAGCAGCAGATCCTGTATTAAGCCTAGGCCAGTGTGACTCAAAAGTGCTCAAAATCCCTAAAGTATCTTTCCACTCCCCTTTTCCCCTTGCCATCCAACTTATAGCCTTACCCTCTACTTCCAGAAAAACGTGGTTTTACAGTATTCTCTTGCTAAAAACCTTTTATCCAACTTCTTATGTTCACATTTCAATTTGGCCCACAAGGCTTCCTGTGATGGCCTTGTGACTCCAGCATCATCACCCATTTCACACTCCTTGAACTCTAGAGAGTTCATACTCAACTACTCATAACTCCCTAACACAATTTTGTGCCATACCTTCCATATCTCTGTTTTGCACTTGATCTTTCCTCTACCTGAACTGCCTTCCCCACCTTCCTGCATACTTGGTGAACTCCTACTGATAGATGAGGCATATGGTCCATTGTCAACCAAGTATTTAAATGAACAAATCAATGTATAAGTTAGTGACTACCCTTTAACACAGCTCTTCTCTAAAGCCTTCCATGACTATTCAGTCTACATTATTTTTTCTCTATTTTAAAAAATGATATAAGAAGATTTTTATCGCCTGGTTTGTCTGTTAACAATGATCAATAAAAGTGAATGGATATTTGGGTATTTATTGAAAGAGTAGGCTTCTTGAAAATGTAAACTGTGTTACTTCTTTCTTTCCCTCTAGTGATGGCGTAGAGAGGTCTCAAGAAATTCTTATTTCTTTAAAAAGCAATGAAAAAAAGGGGGAAAAGAAACTTCTTATCCCAGAATATCATTGGTAGGCATCACAAGAAGGCAGATTCTATATCAATATAGAGACTCTTTAACATTCAGCTGAGGGGAAAGTAGAGAGGGCTCCCTTACAGAGAAGTACAATATTAGAAGCTTTAGGGGTTAAAGTTCCTATACTTGATGTTAGGTTAGACAAGGAAGACTTCTGATTCCATTTAACACAGATACTCTACGATATCCATGGAAACAATAAGAAAATAATGATAATTATTATAGTACGATTTCCTAATATCTATATAGCATATGACTGTATGTGAGGCTATATACAATGCTATATGCAATGCTGTATCTATATAGCATTGACCATATGCTAGGCCATTCTAAGTACTTTATAACGTATTAACATCTTTATTCCTCTCAACAGTCCTCTGAAGTTATTCATATTATATCAATGATATGAAAATAAAGGTAGAGTCAAAAACCTTTATGCTTAAACAGGGTTTTCATGACTTCCCAGAAGACCCCTGAAAGAAAATGGCACAACACCTGATCCTGCCAGAGACCCAGTAAGATTCCAGGTCCTGGGGTGTGTGCCTTCAAGACTTGGGGACTAAAGGCTGATCCAGCTCTTGGAATAAGGCCTTGTCCTGAGGACATCCACATGAGTGAGGGAGGTCTGTAACTCACATCCTCAGATTCAGTCATGCATGCAGAGTTTCTGAGTAAGCATGCATGTGTGCACGTGCGCACACACTCAGCACGTTCACAAACATACTCTATTATAGCTTCTATCTCATTCTCTCTGTCTGCCTAATGTCATTCTATCTATCCATTATAGCTTCTATAAAATTATATCAATTTAAACATCTTCCTTTCTCCACTATGAGACTGAGCTCACCTTGATGGCAGGTACTATATATTAGTCATCTCTAGTTCTCAAGGACCTATACAAAGGCTTGCATAGATGAGGTGCCAAAAATGCTTATGAATTAGGTAAATATGTTCATGAATAAATAACATCAAGCTTCACTAATATATATACATTGTACTCTCTCCAAGTGAAACTTTAAGTCATTCCCTGAATATATCATATTCTCAAAAACCTCCTTGCCTTTTTAAATGCTGTTCTTTATGCCTACAATTGCTATTTCCATTCTTTTCTACATCATGCATCCTGTATAGAGAAGTGAGGCCTAGCTCAAATGATATTTCCTCTTTGAAGTCTTTGTCAACAACTTCAGGATGAATTAACAGCTCTAAATACTAATTGCAG